AAGTAGCTGTTTGTGACCCTACCATCCACAACAGTTGATGTGGAGAGGGGTTTTAGCAGACATAATTTGGTTAAAACAGCTCTGAGAAATAACCTGAAAACAGAAAGTGTTTGTGACATTCTAATCATCAAAATTGAAGGCCCAGAAGAAGAGAATGTTCGACTTTAAAAAGTGCTATGTATATGTCCAGTGATGTGCCAAAAAAGATAGGAGAATTTTACTGCCAGCAGTGAAGAACAAAATTCAGACAATTTGAATGGCTTTGTCAGTCAGAGTCATGGTGGTGAATCATAGTGTTAGTGTCTCAGTCATAGACAGGTGATGAATAATAGTTTGTTTGCATTAAATAAGTGTTGTTTTGTACTTCATGCATATAAAAGTTTGTGTAAAAATAAAGAAAAGAAAAATTATTTATCGCCTTTTTGTGTTAAGAAAATGTTAGGCTACAGATGTGGCTAACAGGAATCCAAATTGGCTAATGAAAATTAATTCTGGCTAATTGTTTGGCTACAGGAAAAAAAATCCTAGCTAGGGCCCTGGAATGTTAATGTGAATGTAATGACTAGGCCTAATGAATGTGTAGCCTGTAGGCTGTAGGCGGTTCAAGGATAGAGATGATGTCCAGGACGGTGGTAGGATAGGATGATGTTTATTGCTGGACACGCTCTCTATCCTTGAGACGACGGTGATGCAGGGTCAGAAATGAACTTCTGCCAGGCAGCAAGTATTTGCTGTCAGAAAAAAATCAGGCAGCAAACGTACTCGCCTACTAGGCAGAAACCCGAGAAAACCATAGCAGTACGTTGCACTCGTTCCCACCCTGACAGTCACACTATCCAGCGACGCTAGGCCTACTGTTCTGTTGCCGCTGTCCATAAGGAACCTGGTTTGGCCTTCACATAGCTGTCATAGTTAGTTAGTTAGTTAGTTAAGGATAATGGGTTGTAATAATAGGCCTAGCCTAATGTGCACCCATATCTGGCGATTTCCTGAATCGGTCGATTCTGACCTTAAATTCGTTAGTCGTGGTAGCTGCGACTGCACTTTGTGGCAGTTTATTCCAGGGTTGCACCACTCTCTGGCTGAAAAAGTTTTGTCGCACCTGGAGTCTGGACCGTTGTTTATATAGTTTCATGTTATTTCCTCTTAATGATGTTTTTGAGGCTGGACAAAAGAAAGTGTTTGGATTCAGTTTATATTTCCCTGTCATGATTTTGTATGATTCTATTAGGTCGCCTCTTAGTCTTCTGGTATGTAAAAATTGTAATCCTAAAAAACTTCAGCCGGCCCTTAATTGTACTTGACGTTTTTAACCCATATATACTAGTTTGATGGCCCTTCGTTGGAATTTTTTTCCATGTGCTCAATGTCTTTACTAAAGTAGGGAGACCAGGCCTGGATGCATTACTCTAGATGTGGACGCATAAATGTTTTGTATAGAATCAAGAAAGCTTTCTTGTCCAGGAACTTGACGGACTTCCTGATTGACTGTAATACGTTGGTAGCTGTACAGGCTGCCTTTATGCACTGCATCATAGGTTTCATGTCATTAGATATCAAAACCCAGGGTTCTGCCCACGGTGGGCGGCGGTGGGCGGGTGTGCCCGGCACTCGCGGTTGCCGCCCGGCACTATATATCTCCGCCCGGCACAAATTTTTGATATAAAAAAAAAAGGAAAAAAAAGAGTGATATATGAGCTTTTTATTGCTCAGAATGCAGGAAATTGAGTTTCAGACTATCAAAAATCAAAAATTTTCAGGGGGGCATGCCCCCGGACCGCCCTAGATTGGCTTCGCGCCTACGGCGCATGCATGCATCTGGATGCGCCCGGCACTAAAAAATCCTGGGCAGAACCCTGAAACCCCAATGTCATTTTCCACCTCTTCCTCCTTCAAAATTCTTCTTTGGTCCCCGTCTTTCATTGTGTAGATTTATATATTTGTTATTTTTACTGCCGATGTGCATCCTTTTGTATTTTTCAACCTCACCTCATTTATCGAGGTCTGTCTGCAGAAGAATATTGTCTGTGATGTTTCTTACTATATTCCAAATTTTTGTATCGTCTACAAAAATTTACAAGGTCTGGTATATCGTTTTAACATAAATTAAAAACAGGATTGGACCCATGACTGATCCTTGAGGTACCCTGCTGTCGACGCTGCTCCACTCAGAAAATTCTTCGTGCACTGATACCCGCATCTTTCTGTCTGTCAGGAAACTTTCCAGCCATGCGATTAGGTTTCCCCTGATTCCGTAGCCTTTTAGCTTACTTATGAGACGGCGGTGTGGAACCGTACGGTGTCGAAGGCCTTTTGGTAATCCAAAAATACTGTGTCTATTGAAGCACCACAGTCCAATGCTGATGTCCAGTCTTCGAACGTTTCTAGAAGATTTGTCAGGCAGCTTTTTCCTGCCGTGAACCCGTGCTGGTGAGGAGTGAAAAGGTCATTAATGTTTAAGTGCTCCACAATGGGACCTTTTACCAGAGATTCCATCACTTTACATGTTACACTTATTAGTGCCACCGGTCTATAATTTCCCGCATTAGTCCTGCTTCCCTTCTTGAAGATTGGGGTGATTTCTGAGCATTTCCAGGCTGTTGGTGCCTTGCCTTCTTGTAGCGACGATTGAAAAATGATGCTCAGTGGTTTAGCGAGACCCTCTGCGCACTCGTAACTAACATAGTTATTTCCCTTACTCGTACATTCTCAATATAGTCACATAAACTACGGACAGTAAAGGCCGCCGCACACCAGCCGATTTTTCACGCGATTTGATCGGCCCGATAGAAATCAGCCGATATCGGGTAGGTGTGCGCGTTCATTTGTAGACGATTTTATTTTTATCGGGTGATCGTTCCAAATCAAACATGTTTGATTTTGAACCGATGAGCCGATGAGCGCGATGGCCGATTTTAAGGCCGCCGACACACCTCATCGCTTCATTCGGTTCATCGTTTTGTAAAATCGCGCTGCGTGTGCGGCGCCTTAACGATGGAACAGTCAACGCTGGCGCATTTGAGAAAAGACAACCCTGAACGACTGGCCAAAAGAATTCAAATTGCTTTGTAACGTTGGTGCTTTCACTTTTGGTTTATTAGAATTCCTTGTAGGCAGCAAAGCTCCAGCTTGCTACTCTTACTGTTGAATTCTGCGCGCGACGATGTATACCAGGGCATGAAATTCAGGTTTTTTGCCAATCGCCACGATGGCTGGTACGAGTAGGTTTTTACCTAGCGCTCACCATAATTTTACTCAGCCGCGTCACTAATTTTCAAAAATAAAGATTAAGACTGGTTTTACTGACTCTGCTTGGTCGAAAAATGTATGTAGTGTGCGGCAATCGCATAGTAGCTGTTGAACAGACTATGATGCAGATTGTGAATGATGTGATCAGGAGTGACTAATAGAGATTATTTATCTCTATTAGTCACTCTGATGTGACCATGTCTGAAGTGTTTTTGTCAATGTTATGTTTCATGCTTGCATTCTCGATTTCAAATTTGTAAAATGTTGATAAAATATGGCGTTTTATCCTTCAGGGGAAACAGAAATGTAGGCTATTTTCTCATTAATGCTATAAATAAAATGTACTTGCTAACGGCTTGTAATCAGGTGTTCGAGGGCCGTTGTTTTGCCAATGTTAGCTGCCCTCCAAATAATTTGGCCGAGCGATACACCGGTCGGCTTGATGCTTTAATTTCGGCCCCTGTGTGTAACTATAGGTGCTGTGGCAGTGGCACATCATGTATGGAACATATTGTACATGTATTGAAATAAATAATTATTGCATGTGGACATTTAGTTCTACAGCCGCCTCGGGGTTTGAAATTAAGGGTAGAAAGCAGCAGTCTTGCTGCCTGCAAGGGTCGGTGTACTACCTGCTTTCAGCGTTAGCATCAAATACCTGCTGTTTTTTCTTAATTGACCCTATGTTATTGTCCGTACTTCATATTACGTAAGCGTGCCAGTTGGGTTAAGGCTATGGTGACTAGGATTTATAATTAATTACCTATCTGTGGAACAGTAGGAGGCTTCCAAGTTCCAGCCAAACCAACTTGAGGGCTCCCTCTGGATGTTTTTAAGTTTGAGCCAAAGACCTTGAGGCCTAGACAAATGTTAATTTTTTAGCACCAATGAAAAACTATAGCCAACTTTCACTTTTGTCATATGTGCTAAGCAAGGTATAAACAGGTGATGGGTATGGGAAAAGAGGTGTGCGAAGACATTCTTAATAAAGTAATCAAGTAAAAATTTAAAAAGACTAGATTGTTTTTATTTAAAGGTAAGTTTAAAATATGACTAGGTAACGGAATTCGTTAGTACTTACATGACATTGCAATCTGACGGATTTTAATTATCTCATATCGTAATTTTTGGTGACGGCTGTTAAATCATTTCGCCAACTTACATTGGTAGTAAAAATTTCGGAGCCTTATTTATATATTCACGATTTTTTTGCAAAGGTGGCGAACGCCGGCGGTAGCCCTGCTTATGGACAGAGGCAATAGGACAGTAGTGTTGAGGTGGGAGGGTGTGGGATTGCTATAGTTTTCTCATGTTTCTGCTTTGAGTAAGTTTGCTGCCTGCATTTTCTCTGACAGCAAAGTACTTGCTGCCTGGCATAAAAGTTCATTTCTAACCCTGATAATATATAGTGGTTCACTGTGGTTGTAGTGTATTATATATAGTATTAGTATGTTCGTAGCTTTAACTGTATAACTTTCAATACACCTACAGTAAGTAATTATAAATTTGTTAGTACTAGTCGGTAAGGTTAAGCATGAGCTTGTTAGGTTAGGGTAGAATTAGGGCAGTTATTTTGAAGTTGTTGTTAATTGCAGGTAGGTAAAGAGCCATTGCTAAAGGTAACAGGTGTCGTAAACCATACCTTACCTAAGTTTGCCATTGCTGTAACTGAAAGCTAGTGTCTGTATTTGCTTTGGCCCACCTTTATGCGTGCATGTGTGTGGCCTAATGTAAACGGTATATCAATACAGGTTATAACTTCCAGTCACCATGCAGAGAGTCGGATCAGCCATACTAGAGCAAGGTATGGGTAACGAGAAGGCATCGAAAGTGTCGCAGGATGGAGGTGACAGGCAGCCAGATGGAGACAGAAAAACCGTCTTTCTTGTAGTTATCATGCTAGTCATTGATCTCCTGGCCTTCACCATGATTCTTCCTCTTCTACCAACGTTGCTTGACTACTATGGAGAACATGACGAGGTACAGTTCATTGAGTGCAGTATTTACCTATGTAGGGTGCATCAGGGGTGTGTGGAGAAGGAGAGATATAAGGTACGTTATTGTCCCTAGAGACAGAGAGAAAGAGTAGGACAAAGAACATGGAGGGATGGAGGGACGGGCAGAAAGTATGTGGCTGTGTGTGTGCCTGCACTCGTTTGTGCACGTGGGAGAGTAGGAGAGAGATGGATGACTTGGTATATAATATAAAAAGATGGTAATGTATTTCATGGTGCAAATGACAGGGGAGGTAGTAGCAGAGGGAAATCTACGATAAGAATTGCAAAAAAACGGAGCAAATGATTACGTAATATTTTTATTCCTGTACATGATGATTGGAATTCATGTTTGGAGTTGCTTAGAAATCACCATTTACATTCTTAAAATTCATAATATGATATTGACAAGGTTTATTATCTTTCTGAGCTAGGCTGTTGCGATTCTGAGTCTAAATTTGAACTTTGTGTTTTGTGATTAATAGAGTGGACTTTATGATTGGCTAGTAGACAAAGTGGCAGACTTCAGGGATCTTCTCGGTGCTCCAGACACGAGGAAGTTTAACTCGGTGCTGTTTGGAGGTTTGCATCATTCTTGCATCATCATTGCATCTATTTTTTGTGATCTAGCCAGTGTTACAAATAAAATTTCGGCGGTGGGGTCGCATGCCACGTGAGGAAGAGACCCACGCTTGCTTCTCATTTGCGCTGCTCTTGTGTTTACAGGATTGGTAGGGTCGCTGTTCTCACTACTGCAGTTTCTCGCCTCGCCTGTGATCGGCGCCCTCTCTGACGTGTATGGACGCAAACCCATGATGTTGCTGAGCATGGTATGCGTGTATAGTGAACATTTCACAATTCACAACGAATTCACAAATTGAACTCCACAGTGTACAAATTACCTTGATTTGCAATCGTAATTTGCGAGTCAATTCATGGCGATGCAATGCGAACCAAACATGCTTGTGTTTATCGTTTTAAAGCCGTTTAATAAAAATACATTTATAAATTTAACTGGCAGTGAGACCCATGTGAATGCTTTTTGCACCAGAAGACATCTTTGCCAATAGTTTTGCTATTTGGAACTTCAACTAACCAATATTTAAAAACTACTTTGTCATCTTACTCACTACTTAAATCATGGATGGAACGGTGACAGTGTCAATGCTGCCTGTGCCCGTGCAAAATTGTAATGACAATTTGCGGTCAATGCTAGGTTGGTGTCGCGATCTCCTATGGTGTCTGGGCGCTGTCAAGTAATTTCCTCATCTTCGTGCTGGCTCGCGTCATTGGCGGCATCAGCAAGGGCAACGTGAGCCTGAGTACGGCAATCGTCACCGACGTCTCGACCCCAAAGACTCGAGGTCGTGGCATGGTGAGTATCACTGGTGAGGTCGTGCATGGTGAGTATTCCTGTGAGCGTGCATGTGGAGGTATCACTGGTGATGTCGTGGCAATGGCGAGTGTCACTGTGCAGGTTCGTGGCATGGTGGAGCGTTCACTGTTTTTTTTGGGAAAGGTCTATTCCGGTGGATGCATCGGCGCGAGTGTAAGTGTGAGGTCCGTCGGCATGGTGAGTATCACTGTGGTGCGTGGCATGAGGGCTATCACCTGTGAGGGTCGTGCGCATGGTGAAGTTACACTAGTTGGGTCGTGGCATGGGGCAGATATCACTTGTGAGTTGGGTGTGGGACATGGTAGAGTATCACTGTGAGGTCGTGGCATGGTGAGTATCTACTGTGAGGGGGCAGTGAGTATCATCGTGAGCGTCGTGGCCATGCGTGGTAATAACTCTTGAGGTCGCTGGCATGGTGAGTATCATGTGAGGTCGTGGCATGGGGTGAGTGATCACTTTGATGGTCGTGCATGCGTGAGTGTCACTGTGAGGTCGTGCATGGTGAGCTACACTGTGAAGGTAGCTGGCATGGCGAGTGTCCTGTGAGGGTCGTGGCATGGTGAGCTGGTTCACTTGTGGGGTCGTGGCATGGCGAAGGATCACTAGTGAGGGCGTGGCATGCCGCGAGTGCACTGTGAACGGTCGTCGGCAGCGCGAGTATGTTAGAGTGTGAGGTCGATTGGCATGGTGAGTTGTCATGCTTGGGGCTCGTGCATGGGTGAGTATCAACTGTGAGGTCGTGGCATGGAGTTACACTGTGATGGTCGTGGCGATGGTGAGTATCACTGTGAAGGTGTGCATGGGAGTGTCACAGTGTGAGGTCGTGGCATGGTGAGTGGTCACTGTGCGAGTGTGCATGTCGACGTATCACTGTGAGGTCGTTGACACTGGTGAGTATCACTGTGAGGTCGTGGCATGGCGGAGTGTCAAGTGTGAGGTCGTGCAGCATGGTGAGTATCACTGTGAGGTCGTGCATGGCTGAGTGTAAGTGTTGAGGTCGCTGGCATTGTGAGTATCACTGTGAGGTCGTGGCATGGTGGTATAACTCTGGAACTGGTCTGGCATGCGTGAGTATCACTGTGAGGTCGTGCATGCGTGAGTGTCAACTGTGAGTCGTGGCCATGGTGAGTGTCACTGTGAGGGTCGTGGCATGGTGAGTATGGTCCTGTGAGGCCGTGGCATGGCGAGTGTAGGTGAGGTCGTGGCATGGTGAGTGTCACTGTGGTCGGTGGCATGGTGAGTATCACGGTGAGGTCGTGGCATGAGCGAGTTCACTGTGAGGTCGTGCATGGTGGAGTTTATCACTTGTGAGGTCGTGGCATGGTGGAGTATTCACTGTGAAGGTCGTGGCCATGCGCGAGGTCACTGTGAGGTCGCTGGCGATGGTGCAGTATCACGGTGGGTCGTGGCCAATGGCGAGCTATCACTGTGAGGTCGTGGCATGCCGTGAGTATCACTGGTGAGGTCGTGGGCCATTTGGCGGTTCACTGTTTGAGGTCGTGGCATGTGAGTATCACTGTGGCGGTCGTGGCCATGGCGAGTATCACTGTGAGCGTCGTGCATGGTGAGTATCACTGTGAGGTCGTTGGCATTTAGCGTTGAGTATCACTGTGAGGGTCGTGGCAGGCCCGAGTATCACTGTGGAGGGCGCTGGCATGTCGGCGAGTGTAAGTGTGCAGGTTGGCTGCATTGGTGAGTATCACTGATGAGGTCGTGGACAGTGCTGTGAGTATCGCTGTGAGGTCGCTGCATGATGAAGTATCACTGCTGAGGTCGTGCATGGTGAGTGTAAGTGTGAGCGTCGTGGATGGCTGAGTATCACTGTGAGTCGTGGCACTGTGTGAGTGTAAGTGTGAGGTCGTGGCATGGTGAGTATCACTGTGAGGTCGTGGCATGGTGAGTATCACTGTGAGGTCGTGGCATGGTGAGTATCACTGTGAGGTCGTGGCATGGTGAGTGTAAGTGTGAGGTCGTGGCATGGTGAGTATCACTGTGAGGTCGTGGCATGGTGAGTGTAAGTGTGAGGTTGTGATGCACAGTGAGTGTAAGTGTGAGGTTGTGCTGCATGGTGAGTGTAAGTGTGAGGTCGCGGCATGGTGAGTGCAAGTGTGAGGTCGTACTGCATGGTGAGTGTAAGTGTGAGGTTATGCTGCATGGTGAGTGTATGTGTTAGGTTGTGATGCACAGTGAGTGTAAGTGTGTGGCCAAGCTGCATGGTGAGTGTAAGTGTGAGATCGTGCTGCTTGATGAGTTCTACTGTAGGTATGGGTGACATAGTAAGTGGTGGTAAAGATGCAACTCATGATGAGTGAATCTACAGATGGATGCCATGGTACACAATAGTAAGCATGCAATGATGCAAGGCATGATATGTACAATGGCAAGCATGCAAGGCATGATATGTATGATGGTAAAAATGCCCGGCATGGTGAACGATATTAAGGACGCATGTGATGAGTGTGACTGTAAGGGATATGAGGAGTGGTGAGTGTTACTGTAAGGGGTGCAAGGCATGGTGAGTGTGACTGTAAGGGATATGAGGAGTGGTGAGTGTTACTGTAAGGGGTGCAAGGCATGGTGAGTGTGACTGTAAGTGATATGAGGAGTGGTGAGTGTTACTGTAAGGGGAACGACCGTACGAGGCATAGAGTTGTTCGTAAATACCACTCGCGCATTCGCAGAGTTATCGGCGCGTTGCATGCTGGTCTAGCTGGTGATCACGAAAGTTTGCAAACTGCACTAGCGATGTAGGTCTGCGCAGTATGTTCGAGAAACAGACAGTAGAACAGGTGCGTGCGTGTGCACGTACACGTGAGTGCGTGCGTGCGTGCGTGTGCACGTACACGTGTGTGTGTGTGTGCGTGTGCGTGTGCGTGTGCGTGTGCGTGTGCGTGTGCGTGTGCGTGTGCGTGTGCGTGTGCACGTACACGTGCGTGCGTGTCCCAGTACACGTGCGTTCATGTGTGTGCATGTACACGTGCAGGCGTGTGCACGTACACGTGCGTGCATGCGTGTGCATGTACACGTGCAGGCGTGTGCACGTGTGCGTGCGTGCGTGCGTGCGTGCGTGCGTGCGTGTGCACGTACATGTGCGGGCGGGTGCACGTACATGTGCGGGCGGGTGCACGTAAACGTGCGTGCGTGCGTGTGTGCGTACACGTGCGTGCGTGCGTGCGTGCGTGTGCACGTACAGGTGCGTGCGTGAGTGCACGTACAGATGCGTGCGTGAGTGCATGTGCATGTACACGTGTGGGCATGTGCACGTACACGTGCGTGCGTGCGTACGTGCGTGCGTGTGCACGTACACGTGCGTGCTTGTGCACGTAAACACCGCCACCTTTCAATACAGAGGCGTGTTCAGGAGAGCGGATTTGCGAATAACTCTATGGTTAGTGTGACTGTAAGGGGTACGAGGCGTGGTGCGTGTGACTGTAAGAAATGCGAAGCATGGTCAGTGTGATGTGATGCTACTGCTGTTATCGAAAGAGATTGGCATCTTGAGTATCTGATTAATTAGTTAGACTTCTGAAATAGTATTAGTCATTACTCGTCAGTCTAGCTATGTTGTCATGTCGGTGCTTGCTCACATGTCTCTCTTCTCCAACGGCAGGCAATGATAGGCGTCGCGTTCTCAGTGGGTTTCACCGTGGGTCCAATGATCGGAGCAGCATTCACACGCATGTCTACGGGTGCAGAGGGTTTCTACATTGCTCCCGCACTTTTCGCGCTGACTCTCGCTGTCATTGACATTCTGGTCATCTTCGTGGCTTTCAAGGAGACACTGCCTGCAGAGAGGAGGGTGAGTACGCACACAGCTGCACTACCAGAACACGTTCAAAACATGTCGATGTGCGCTTAAAGTGATTACGTCACCGTAAATAGTAAAAAATATGTTAATATTTCCACTTTTTTACAAAATATAAGTAATTCTGTTCACTTTTTATGGTTAAATTGCTGCATTATACTTCTTATTTTACTATATTGTTCGATGTGAACATACACTCGTGACTCATACATAGCCCATAGCAAGCAAATAATGTTAGGAACACTAATATCAAATCGTCCAGGTTTTTGGGATTTTTAACTAGTTGAGAAACAATCTTATCAGGTAAGAATTTGACGATACGTTTAGTCCCGTTAGTTCTTACTTTTAATGTAAAAAAATGGCAACAAAAATTTGACAAATTTTACCATAGAAAATTCGTGACGTAGTCAATTTAAGCTTTTTCCCTTGTATTGTAGACTTCACGTGTCGTAGTGATACCTGAATCCATGCACTGCCTGCTTGCTTTCGTTGACCACGTTGTCATAAGGTTGTGAATGCAATAGTTTCTGGTCATACCAGTGACAGCAAACCTGATAACTACTTGGAAAAGCGAGTTTTTATCAGTGGCTGGATTGTAAAATTTGATTGTATCCTGTCGTTTTCTTCTGCAGTCAAAGTCTCTGGGCAGTGGAGTGAGTGGTGCCCTGGACTACATCAATCCAGTATCACTCTTTCGCTTCAGTGCTGTCCAACAGGTCAGCGTGAAAGGTAAACAGAGTAACTCGTCACTCACCTTTAGCCTAATTAGAGTCGTGTATGTGTTTTTTTGTTAGTTTAGTTTTCCGGGTTTGAATAAAATAACAAACCTAGAAAGCACATTATTGCATTTGCAGATAAGGTGATGATGGCAAGACTAGGGCTCATCTACTTTCTATATCTGTTTTTGTATTCTGGACTGGAGTTTACACTTACCTTCCTCACACACATGCGTTATCATTACACCAGGTAATGTCATGGAGAGATGAGGGAAGGGGTGACTCACTAATATTAGAAAAGCAAGAGATGCTGGTGGAAATTCATGTCAATGCTGTGCATTAAAAAGAGCAAATGTTGATTAAAAACGTTCGTTTTCATGGCTATCCTATAGGAATGACTACACACCACAAATTCTCATCTGTCATGTTTAATCTGTACAATTAGGTGAACTCATTGAACCACTAGGTGACTGTTGTACTATGACATATGTATGAGGTGAGGTACAATAGATTCTATTCCCATAGCTTCTGTCCCGGCTTTTCCGCGAGTGCAAATATTTACTCGCTGTCCAAACGTGTATGCCAAATTGGTACTGCTTCGAGGCACCAGCCACCTAGCAATCCTCTATGTACTTATTTTAATGTTTATTGTGTGCTCTGCTATTTCAGCATGCAGCAAGGCAAGATGTTCTGCTTCATAGGTATCATCATGGCACTCGTCCAAGGTGTGTGATAGAATAATTACCACTGCAACTCATTGATCTTCCTTGGCAACTCTTTAAATTGACTACGTCTCGAATTTTCGATGGTAAAATTCGTAAAAATTTAACTAACTAACTAACAGGACTAAACGTATCGTCAAATTCTTACCTGATATGATTGTTTCTCAACTAGACGGACTTGCGGCCCCGCTTTTTGCGCGCGGCTCGCGGCGAAGCCGCGCCCCAACGCGAATACGCCACCCCCTTTTTGTCCACTTAGAGAGATATCTGAGACAGGGGTCTGAAAACGCACTACGCGAAAACTGGGCGCAATCCAACCGACATTT